GAAATGAAAGCAAAAAGACTGCCACCTGGTGGTGCAAAAAGAAAACTTATTGATATGAACTTTTTAGATCGCTTTAGTACAAATTGTGTATAATAGTATATCAATGTTACTTTTTTTTAAAAGCAATAATACATTTATGCAGTCATAAACGGTGATGGTGATTTGTTGCTTCACAAAAGTTGCAGACGCCTTTACCAATATGAAAATTTCTTTTGTAAACAACCAGTTATTCTTTACACACATTAAAAAAACGGCTACTATATGTAGTATACTTTTATACTTTTCTAAATGTAGAACTAAATACATTGATTTGCATTGAAATACATAATGAATACTCTTGACACATGAAAGTGTAAAGCCTGCAGCTCACAACAAATGTGAAAGGTTATTGCGTGTCATATTTAACAAACCGTTTACTGCTAATTTGATGTAATTTTGCTCACATGAATAATTGAATATTAATCAGATGATGTCATAACGCTGCTGTGCCGTCAGCCAATCGTTGCATTGCTGATCATGATTTCGAGGATGGATAGATCTGTCCTTCACAACACACCGGCGATCTCAGATCAGTTTATCCAGATATTTTAATCTGATTCGCGAACTCGTTTGAAGAACCAAATTAGCGAGAGATCAGTTATCAAGATTAAAAGATCCAGGATCTGCCAAATCATCTTAGATCATTTAAGCGAGGTACGAAGAACGGACCCCAGTTCAAGTAAAGATAATACTGAAAGTATGTACCGAATTCTGATATTTTCTTACAGTAGTAGTTATATACACTTGGGAAAATATTAAATCTTTTTAAACTATATATTATATATATATATATATATATATATATATATATATATATAAAGTTATAGGTTATAGTTATAAATAAAACAAGGTTATATATAATATATATATGTGTATGTAGTAAAACTTATCAATGAAATGAAATGAAAGTACAAAGACTGCCATGAGGTGGTGCAAAGAGAAAGCTTATTGAAAATGAACTTTTTACAATTGCTTTAGTACAATTTGTGTATGATAATAGAAATGCACAATATGTGACTTTTTTATAAGTAATAATACATTTATGCAGTCATAATTATGTTTTTGAACATGTTTTGACAGTTAATATGACGGTGATTTGATGCTTCACAAAAGTTGCAGACGCCTTTACCAATATCAAAACGCTTTTGTAAACATCCAGTTATTCTTTACACCGATTAAAAAAAACCGGCTGCTGTAATAAGGAAAATCCGCTCTAACTGTAAAACTAAATAAATTGCTCTAAACACATGAAAGGGCCAAGCATGCAGCCCACAACAAGGGTTAAAGTTATTGCGTGTCATATTTAAAGCGTTTACTGCTAATTTTCTGTAATTTTGCTCACATGGATAACTGAATATTAATCAGATGATGTCATCTCACTGCTGTGCCGTCAGCCAATCATTGCATTGCTGATCATGATTTCGAGGATCGATAGATCTGTCCTTTACAACACACGCAGCGATCTCAGATCAGTTCATCCAGACATTTTAATCTGATTCAAGAACTTGTTTAAAGAACCAATTTAGCCAGAGATCAGATATCAAGATTAACAGATCCAGGATCTGCCAAATCATCTTAGATCATTTAAGCAACCCCTGGCCCCTGCCGAGTCCACAACAATGCTTACATCACACTTCAGCCATTGCAAATTAAAAGCTGCCATTAAACCATCACAAACTGAGGTTAGTTCAGTTTAATATTTGATCATAGATTTTTATTCATCTACATAGAGCACATTTATAAAGAGGCAATAAATAGAAGCGACAACATGCCTTCTGAACAAGCCAAACAAAATAACGGACAACTTCTCAAACGCTACTTTGCCCTGACAATAAACATTGGCATTAAAGGCAAAGAACAGCTGATTATAGGGCTCTGTGTGATCGATGGCAATCACAGGATATTAAATCATCTGTTCACATCATGAAGAAGGCATCCTCGAGTAACATCCCCAACTCAAATAGCATTCAGATCATCGTCAACTATTAGGAGGCAACATACATTAAGATTTATCCACAATCCAGTACAACAACTTAAAAAAAAAACAAAGAAAATCAAATGGAATCAAACAGAAGTACAACAGCAGCTCAAATTTGATTTGCCGATGCTAATTTGATCTCATTAGAAATACAAGCTATGTCTATTTAGCCTAGCAGTTACATTAAATATCTTAAGAATTCCTCTCTACCCCCCCAAAAAAACCATGAGTCAAGATATAAAAGCAGTAATGAACAGTTGTGCCCTTTAACCGAGCACAGATACACATCATCTGGCGGTTTCCTTCTGTTTTTTTGGGATGCAGTCAGTCTGTCAGATGGATAGAGTCTCTCCAAACATAGCCAAGCTTCAGTGCAGAGGAGAAAATCATCAACATCTGAACCGCCAGCTTGTTTTACTAGTCCAGATCAGTGAAGAGTGTGTGGTAGTGTGTGTATGTGTGTTCAGAGAGAGTATTTAGACGCCGGTTGGAGCGAGGCGGCTAACGAAGGCAATGCTGTTGAGGCACATCCTCCTGAAGAAGACGGGACAGCTGGGCTTCATCACAAAATGCTCCAGTAAGATGCGCAGCTCTGTGAACAGCGTCCTGACGGAAGAAAAACACTCATCAGATGATGGTACTCTGGCCATTGTTTATTACAGCATGTGGTAAATGCAAATTTTTTTTAGGGTGGAAGCAAAAAGCATGATGTTTTGATATAAAAGTGTGCATTATGAAGATTTATTACACAGCTGGAATACTGGATTCTGATTGGTCAGTCGTGACATTCCAAAGCATGTTATTCTGAATTATTACACAGCTGTCTGGAATACTCGATTCTGATTGGTCAGTTGCAAGATTCCAAAGCATGTTATTCTAAATTATTAGACTGACCAATCAGAATCCAGTATATCAGATAACAGCGCAACATTCCAAGGTATGTTATTCTGAATTACTACACAGCTATCTGAAATACTGGATTCTGATTGGTCAGTTGCAATATTCCAGGATATGTTATTCTGAATTATTACACTGACTAATCAGAATCCAGTGTTCCAGATAACAGTGCAACATTCCAATGTATGTTTTCTGAATTATTACATGGCAGTCATGAATACTGGATTCTGATTGGTCAGTCACAATATTTCAAGATAGGTTATTCTATTACACTGCTGTCTGGAATACTCGATTCTGATTGGTCAGTTGCAACAATCAAAAGTATGTTATTCTAAATTATTAGATGGCAGTTGTGAATACTGTATTCTGATTGGTCAGTTTTGACATTCCAAAGCATGTTATTCTGAATTATTACACTGACCAATCAGAATCCAGTATTCCAGATAACAGCGCAACATTCCAAGGCATGTTATTCTGAATTATTACACAGCTGTCTGGAATGCTGGATTCTGATTGGTTAGTTGCAACATTCCAAGGTATGTTTTTTTAAATTATTACATGGCAGTTATGAATACTGGTTTCTGATTGGTCAGTTTTGACATTCCAAAGCATGTTATTCTGAATTTTTACACTGACCAATCAGAATCCAGTATTCCAGATAACAGTGCAACATTCCAAAGTATGCTATTCTGAAATAATACATGGCAGTCATGAATACTGGATTCTGATTGGTCAGTCACAATATTCCAAGGCATGTTATTCTGAATTATTACACAGCTGTCTGGAATACTCTATTCTGATTGGTCAGTTGAAACAGTCCAAAGTATTTTCTTTTGAATTATTACATGGCAACAATGAATACTCAATTCTGATTGGTAAATTGCAATCTTCCAAGGGATGTTCTTCTGGATTATTACACTGTTATCTGGAATGCTCAATTCTTATTTGAATACTTAAATCTGATTGGTCTGATTGGAATACGCAACATTCCAAGGTATGTTATTCTGAATTTTAATTTGATTCAATATTTGAGGGTTAACCAGCTCTAATATTTCACATTTTTCATGGAAATGATAACCACCACATTGACCTTTATTTTGGGTGAAGTGCACATCTAACTCTAGTCTGGGTACATCATATATAAGACTCCTACCGGCAGTAAGGGTTGCGTCTTGAAGAGTAGCGCAGGGTGAGGAACCGATAGTAGATGAAGGGCTGCAGCAGACTCCCCTGTCCACTGTCGACCACAAAACCAAAAATAAATCATCATCCCATCCAACCATTAATAAGCATTACTTTTAAAGCTTCTGAATTATCAACCAGACAAAAGAAACAAGTGTTCAAAACACTCTCACCTGAACAGCATGAAGACAGTAGCAGGCATCAAGAAGATCTCGTTGCAAGCAATAAACTTTAGGATGTTCTGCTGATTGGAGGTGAGCTTGTTTAAAAAGTTCCTCACAAACATGAGGCTGTTTGGGCCCATGGTCTGAAACAAACCCAACATTCATGTTGGTTTTATGATAAATTCATCTCTCAAAAACAGAAATAAATGAGACGGGCGTAAACTTACATCAAGGACTTTTTTAGTGTATGTAGTGGCGTGGAGAAGTGAAAACAGGAACACTGGAAAGATGCTCACTGAGATCGAAGGTCAAGGATGAATAAGACAAAAGTATAACATAATATACAAGACAAATGTTCATGGTTTCTACTTCAAGCCAAAAATAAAATCCTCTGACTTTAACTGAATCAAAAAATCTATTTCAGTGACATCTAATGGACAGAAAAACAGACCACTCTTGTGCTTATATATCGATAATACAACATTAAAATAATAACATTACATGGCAGTCATAATGACTGTATTCTGATTGGTCAGTTTTGACATTCTAAAGCATGTTATTCTGAATTTTTACACTGACCAATCAGAATCCAGTATTCCAGATAACAGCGCAACATTCCAAGGCATGTTATTCTGAATTATTACACAGCTGTATGGAATACTGGATTCTGATTGGTCAGTTGCAACATTCCAAGGTATGTTATTCTGAATTATTACATGGCAGTTATGAATACTGGTTTCTGATTGGTCTGTTTTGACATTCCAAAGCATGTTATTCTGAATTTTTACACTGACCAATCATGATGCATTTAATTAAATATGATTTTCAATTATATTAGAAGCCATTAATAGAACATTGTATAACTTACCTCAGATTTTTTTTTACCAATAATAATAATAATAATGCATTTTATTTAAAGGCGCCTTTCATGACACTCAAGGTCACCGTACCGGACAGCTAGACCAATCAATTCAAATAAAAACACAATAAAAGTCAATAGAATACAATACAAACTTTAAAAGTGCAGTCGGGTTAAAGAGAATAAGCTGTTCTAAACAGATGTGTTTTGAGTTTGGATTTAAATTGTGAAAGAGAGTCTAAATTACGGAGATCAGGAGGAAGTGTATTCCAAAGCTGAGGAGCAGAGTGGCTGAAGGATCTGCTCCCCATGGTGACAAGGCGGACAGAGGGAACAGTGAGGTGAATGGAAGAATAAGACCTGAGTGTTCGAGAAGGTGTGGCGATATGAACGAGATTACCAAGGTATGGAGGAGCGAGATTGTGGATGGCTTTAAAAGTGAGAAGTATTTTATAATTAATTTTGTAAGAGATGGGAAGCCAGTGAAGCTGTTGTAGAATGGGTGTGAAGTGACAGATAGAGGGAGTTTTTGTGATAATATGTTCTGCAGCGTTTTGTACCAGTTGTAATTTATGAAGAGTTTTTTTTTAGGGAGCCAAACAGAAGGGAATTACAGTAGTCTAAACGGGATGTGACTAAACTGTGAACAAGAATGGCAACTGAATGAGGTGTGAGGGAAGGACATAAACTATTTATATTTCAAAGGTGGGAATAAGCAGGACCCCTACTAAAAGCACTGTATTTAGTACTGACTTGAAAAGCTACATTTTTATGATGCAAATTTTGGCAGCAATGTAAAAAATATCTATAAACTAAAAGTTTTCTGTATTTGGTGATTAATGCGTTTTTTCCCCTGATTTATTTGTTTTAGAATTTTGAATGATGGGATCTTGAGCTTGAAAAACGAAGCTGGAATTTTGAGTGAATTTTCACAACAAAGCAAAACAAGAAACGCCATAAACAGTGCCACAAATTTTAAGAAAAATCACACTTGCTTTCATTTTAGGCTGCAAAAATCATGAAATTGTGCAAAAAATCTAGAATGGATGAGCACTGACCAGATAAAATGATCTATTGGATTGCCGGACAGAGGGGTGAAAAAACAAATTACAAATACTCAAATTACTGTAACAGTAGTTTTTCTTAGGAACAATACTTTAGGTAGTTTTAAAAATGTGTACTTTAACTTACATATTTAGTGCAGTATCAGTACTGTTACTCCACTATTCAACCTTCAACTTGCAGTCACTACTTTCTTCTGGTCTTATGGTGACTGGCTAAAGTAGAATAAGGATGGATTATTCTACTTCAGCCAATCAACGTTAAGACCAGAAAAAAATCCCGTCCAATCAAATCGCACATAGAAAAATCAAGACAAAGAAAACACAATATTGTTACAACCAATGACCCGAGAGACATGCATGTCACTAATGAGAAGATGATGGATGGCTACTGTATGATGGCCGAAATGCCCTTAAACAATGATAAATTACTACACTATTCACTACAGACACACACACAAGCACAAAATGCATGCAAACACATCAACCTTTCACATTTTAATACTCATTACTCACTACTCCTGAGTATTTTTAAAGAGGCTACTTTTTACTCATACTTTGAGTTATATTTACATCAGATGCTTTTACTCGCACTACATTTTTGGGTAAGTAATGGTGCTTTTACTTGAGTATGATTTTCCAGTACTCTTTCCACCACTGTTGCCGGTAGACAAGCAGAAAAAAGGGATAACATGGCAGTGATAAAAATGCCTAAACAACAGACAAAATGCATGAAACATGATTAAAAACACAGTAAATATACTTCTTCCATGACCATGGGATTCCTGTTTGTTTATTTATTTTTTTATCTGAGGTACTTGCTGTTTGCGTGGCTGTGAAGTGCTCTCTCTCCCATGTTTGATAGCTCGATTGTAGTTTTACAAACTTAATTAAGCCTTTGTCACCTACTTTTTAAAAACCCAGTATTTAAAGAGGTCTTTTTGAAGCCAAAGCTCTTTATATTATCCTGTATTATCCCTAATTTTCTATTATCCTTGCATGTTAGCCTTTGTAAACTAACAGGTACAGACTGCATTTGACTTAAGTGACCACCTTAAGTAATAAGCATGAAACGAATAAATGGAGTTGAAAATAAGCATGAGATATGTCAAAAAAACGCACAATACAAAACATTAAAGAGGAAAAAAACACATTTTGGTAAATGGAAAAATAAATTTAAAAGCAACAAACAAAAATCCCTGATATTCCATGACTATGACATAAATATACATGCGTTTCAATTACTTTTAGTTGAACTTTTAAAATTGCACGACCTGTGGGACACTAGGTCTTAAAGGATACTTGTGATGGGGTAGGAGTTGACCAGGATGAGGGAGTAGAGCAGATAGTGGCAGCTGTCCTCCTGTAAAGCCTGGGCCAGGAAGGCTCTACTCAGCTGAAAGTGAGGGAGTCGCTGGTGCAACCGCAGAGCGCTGGTCAGGGCATTCGCCAGCAGCGCCCTCTGGTAGAAGTTAGCAGCAGCTTGAGGCCTGCACAGTGGAAAAAAATGATTATTATTCTCTTTTATGTATTTGTAGAGTGTAATGTTTTTAAATAAATATTTCTTCAAATGTGGTTAATACAATATATGAACTATTAATAAAAATATTGTACAGACTGAACTGTAACTATCGGATGACTATCGTCTCCACACTAACCTAAATATTTATCGCCAATTTGTTTTAATGCAACAAAGTTTGTTTTATCTCCTTTTATAAATTGATCAAAATTTTAGGGTGGCTGTAAAAGTGCCTTATAGGAGAACATGACTCACCCAAGCAGAGGCAGAATAAACATGATGGAGCAGTAGACGGTGAACAGCCGTGAAAGCCACATAGCCGTTTCCAGCTTATTACTCAGGAGAAATTGCTGTAACACAGACATGACAAAGAGCCACAGTTACAATTAAATAAGCCAATTTAACATGTAAAATCATTATTAAAAAATTTATTTAATAAAGTATTTTTTTATTATAAAAATAAAGTCAAAATTATTAGTGAAACTTTAAATCATTACTAAAAAAAATCCAAAAATTATAGATTTTTTTTCCAACATATTTTAAAAGATAATAGACCAAACTAAAATAAATAAGATGGAAAAAATATAGGGAATTTTGTAATACTACAGTAAAGATCACTTGGGAAATATTTGAAAAATTTAGCAAACTCACAGCAATGATGTGCAAATGTGAGCAGGTACACACACACATAGTACGTAAGTGTGTGATTACGCTAAAGTTGGTTTTATATTCAAACATTCGTTCAGTGACAACTTGTAAAATACTCCCTATATTGTTTACCGTAGTACTTTGAATACTCGATCACATGTAAGAATGACTTTAAAACAACATTAGCACTATTTATTTGACTCTGAACAATGTTGTATTGGCTGCTAATATAATTCCACTAGGGACACTGCAATTGATTGGCCGGAGATCGATAATGGCGGATAATCACATTTAATTATTCGATCGGTAGTTGCTGATCTGGACGATCTCATGAACCGATCACAAGTGTTTGTGCTAGTTAGAGATAAACAAAATATTTGACTGACCATTGCATGTATTTAGACCTTTTTACACATAAGAAATGAAAGTTTTGTGTTTTTGACAGTAAGTTCACTAAAACCTGGCTGGAAATATTAAATACATTTTTAAAAAACTTAAAAATTATAAAATTTTTAACATGAACATTTAATGATATAACTTCTTGTAATTTACTTACCGTAATAAACAGTAGTAGACATGTTTTCTTTTAGTAAAGAATTAATGGATTTATAGGTGTGCATTTTAACTTTTTATGCATCAAACATGCGCTCAAAACTTTTCTTAATTGAGACATGTTGAATTCTTCTTTTATCATTTGCAATGTTTCCAAATTGCATTGTTAGGCCGCATGTACAATGCAGGGTTTAATGACTCACTTCAGATTTTCTTCTCCTATACGGCACAGATCAAATATGCCCCATGTACATGTAATCAGGGAAAAAAAATCACACAGATTCCGATTTACTCAAATCAGATTCAGGCCTTGTTCATGTGTGGAAATTTATCCGATGTGAATCGGATCTGTGCCCTCATGTCTGCAGTGTAAGCAGGTAGATCTGATTTTCACCTGTCAATGTGAGTCGCACATCATTAAAACCAAAGCAAATGATGTACACTCGGATGCTCTTATTACAAAACAGACTTCAGCAGAGTCCCAAACCATAAATCTCATACACGAGGACTAAAAAAAGCTTTACATTGTCATGTAGCACAAGTACTTAAGTATACTTAGTTAATGAAAGAGAGTGCGCACAACATCCGCCACGTAACCAATATAACTATTATAAAACGTGGCACACGTCATGTGCCTAAAGCACGCTATGGACATTACACTAAGATGCCTACTGGTTTAAAAAGGCCTAGATTAAAAGAAGAAGGCAAGATTAGAACTTTTAAGCCATAAACTATAGTAAACAACTTGTCAAAAATTATTTTTAAAAAATGAAACCCCCAGAACACATTAAAAACAAATGGAGAAAAGAGAGCACTTTTATTTTAAGCTGTCAGTCAGCGCCCACTCTTTTCCCCCCCCGCTGATTGCGCATTTTGCCATGTGCTGTGTAAATACAGACAATTGGATGAGACTCGCTTTTAAATGATGTAAGCAGGTCAGCAAAAAAACATTTTTTTAACCAATAAGCAAGATAAGTGGCCGCTTAGGGCAACAGAAAATCTGAGGGCCCCCAAATAAATACCAAGAAGTATAAATTTTACCTATAAATTAAATATATCATCATTTTCGGTCATATTTTGAATGATGAGAGTCTAAAAAATTTAAAGGTTAATGTTAATGACATCTGCACAAATGTATTCCCCACCCTCAATCATGGAGAAGTCCAGCAGTCAAATTAGGTAAAGATTCAGTCTTTAAAAAAATCTGTATTTTATATATAATTTTAAGTTGTGAATTCTTTTAAAAAAAATAAATAATTTTAAAAAGTTTGACAAGATGCTTTACATGTTGTTGTTACTATTTTGCATTTAGACAAAATGTAGAAAAGAAGTGACTAAGTGTTATAAGACAAAAACAGCTAAATAAATAAATAAAAAATAAATTTAAATAGATAAGGTGCATTTCAGAACTTTTGGCCCTCATGGCTGGAATTGCTTAGGACCCCCGATTGACTAAATCCACCCCTGCTCTTAGGTATGGTGAGATTTTCACTTAAGTAACATACTTGGAAGGAAAATGTGCTTTATGCATTAGAATCAGTACTCGATATTGGCCGATCACCATGACAAGGACTCAGTACTTGATATCGGCTGCAAAAATCCTGACTGGAGCACATCTTAATTTCACTATTTATAATTTGCAAAGAATACTTTTCTGAAATTATATTACCAAAAAGTCAGAATAAGCAAACATAAAACCTACTGTAGCTCAATAAGTGTGTGTAGTATATTTATTTTTGGATCTCTGAGACAAAATATAGGTAAAAAGTGAACAGTACTTACTGCAGCCCCAGCCTGAGGAGGAGGAGGAGGAGGTGGACTCCTTTGCTCGGTGTCTGCCATCTCTCAATTATTACAGGGCTCTATTTCTTCACAAAAAAATACAAGAAAGTTTCTCATTAACTCTAGGAATGAAGTAGAAAGATAAAATACCCCGAGTTAATCTTCCCTGAAACAGTTATGGGCAGTTAGTCTTTGTGTGCAGTCTGTCAGGTGGAGGGGGAGGTGGAATAGGCACAAGCTCAGAGCACATTAGCTCATACTGATTCATTGCTTATTATTCATGTGTATTTGAATATTAAGCTTTCTTACATCAATATGTTGAAGAATACCGTTTACTTGTACTATCTAACGCATTGGCATTAACACAAAGTAATAGGAAATGCCTCCATATAGACCAGACAGGGCAGAACTAACGTTACACTTGACTAGTCAGCAGTTAAACTGACAACTAACAAATCAGCCGGTAGCAAATAAAAGATCAGTAAAAATAATACTAAACAATTGTCAAACGTCACAAGGATGATAAAAAATACTTAATCAAAAGCATAAATACAGAGCATATGAAGTGGATTATTAATTTCATCTGCAATATGTTGGAACAATCTAGAACACTGGGATGAGTTAGCATGCTAGGAGCCGACATGCTAACTCCTCACACAGCTTTTGACTACAACCACCGACAGGCCTGAAATAACAGCAAATTATGCGCATAATAACATAGTCAAAATATGATAGGATGTTGTATTAATACCTGTGTTTAACTGTTGGTTGTTGGGTTTTGTGAGAAGGAGAAAATTAGGTTTATTTTCACCGCTCGGGGCGCACGCGCTTCTCTCCGGAATAATGCACGAGAGGTTGGTCAGCTGAGCCAGCCGACCTCGCGACCTCTGGATTGCACAAATCTCGCGATATTTCGGAGCACATGAAGGAGTTTGATTGGCATGACTTGAACGCCAATCAACAGCTGACAGGGTATTTCTCCTGTTTTTTTTAAATGTGTAGCTTTTAAAACAATTAAATTAAATTAAATTAAATTAAATTAAATTAAATTAAATTAAATTAAATTAAATTAAATTAAATTAAATTAAATTAAATTAAATTAAATTAAATTAAATAGGAAAAAGCACTAAAACCGTAGACTGTAAAATATAGGACTAAAACATATAGGCTATAATACTCTGAAAGCATTTAAATTCATGTAAATGTGTACATTACAATATATGTTAGGGAAAAATATGATATAAAATTTTTTAAATGAGGAAAAATCAAGAGAAACAACAAATATATAAAATTTTGTTGTTGTTTTTTTGCAATCTTTCCCATGATTTTATATGGATTACCCTGCTATTTTTGAAGGTGTTTGTGTTTGTTTATTTATTTATTATATTTTTTTTTCTGTCAGCCAAAGCTAAATTATATAAATATATCATAACCTCTTGTTGTTGCGGCATTTAATTATTAAAGTATTAATAAAGATATTTAAGCCCCAAAGCAAAACCAATCAGCTTCAATGTGAATAACAACATCGTAAACTTTGAGTTGAAGCAATAACAAATTATTGGACAAAGATTCAAGACTGAGTACTGAACTGCTTTAACGACAGAAAGAACTACTACAATCTTTTTAAGCATTATGAATGACACAATCAAATTCAAATATAAAAGAATAAATTTAAAAGTATTTATTTAAAGGCTGTAGTTTATTACAAAATTTCCAAACAAACATTTACATATTTATATATAGCACTGCTCTCTCTGATTGATTAAATATTCAGTACAGCATCATTGGTAATGTAGCTTTTGTCGTTGTTGTTGTTTTGCAATAATTCTGTTTTAAATTCACTAATAATCAGGTCAATTACTGAAAAAACGTTGAACAAGAAAACAACTGTTGTGCACTATTGTTGTCAGAACTGCCAACTTATCCAGCATATGCTTTGTTTATAACTACAATAATTTAGGTTACCTCTACCGCATGTTTTTGGACTGAGGGGGGAAACCAGAGCACCCGGAGGAAACCCACGCCAACACAGGGAGAACATGCAAACTCCACATAGAAATGCCAACTGACCCAGCTGGGACTCGAACCAGCAACCTTCTTGCTGTGACGTGATGGTGCTAACCACTGAGCCATCGTGTTGCCCGTTATTTTATACAATTTTGCTGTTTTTTTTCTATTATTATTTTTTTCTTGCATGTTCACTATTTTTATTACAATTCAATATATTAGGCAGTGCATTTAGGATTTGTTGAAATGGGTTTATACATTAAAAATATCTATCTCTGTATAAACAATGACATCTGTATTTGGCATAAAAATAAAAGAGTTAAAAAAATACTTAATAAAATCAACATTTTATAAATACAAAATTAAATTACTTCATTTAATTTATACACACACACACACACACACACACACACACACACACACACACACACACACACACACACACACACACACACACACACACACACACACACACATATATATATATATATATATATATATATATATATATATATATATGTGTGTGTGTGTGTGCGTGTGTGCGTGTGTGTGTGTGTGTATGTATGTATGTATATAGCATTAATAATTAGAATTGCCCCAAAAAATATATTATAGGATAAAACTACGTAGAACAACTTTGTCCAATTTTGCACATAACATTAAATAAATTGTGTAAAAAAACATTAAAAAAGTAAAATAAAGTAAAAATAATTTATTAAAATAAAAAATTCTTATGCTGACGCAAAAAAAACGTGCATTTTGTTTTTGGCACAGTTATAATTAAAAAGAGAGATATAGATTGAGAGAGTGTGAAGGAGAGAGAGAGAGCGCGCGCAACTAAAGTCATGATATGATCGTGCATTAAGCGCCGCTGTGGAGATGACTGTGATTGAGTCAGTGCTGCGCGGGAGAGTGCGCGAGTCTGCAGCGATGCACGCGCGAGCTTTCGTTAAATCCAGCGAGCTCGACACACACAGGACCGACGAATTCGGATGAACCACAACTTTTACTGCATTTCCCTCATGTCATAACGTCAAAAGGTCAGTAGTTAACGTGTTAGTGTTTGATAGTTTTGGCTGCCAGCGACCAAACTAGTTTCAGTATCAAACCAACAGCGAAGTAAATCAAACGATACAGTCATGCGTTACTTGTATATATCAATTAAAGCAACGAAATGCGACAACCCATGTGACCAACGTGGAAGGTTACGACCCTAAACAGGTGTCTGTACTCCAGCAAAGATGCATGAGGAAATGCCTTTCATTTCGCTTCCACATTTTATAATAGGATGGCATTTGTTATGTTATTAAGGTAAAATTTAATGTATATTCGCACACTCCGTCTTTCACGTTCAGTAAAATGGTAAAGCAGCACAACACATTATATCTGTAACTGTAACTCGACGTCTAACGCAAAACAATCACAATGGACGCTCCCTATATTGTTCACCACGATACTTTGAATATTCGGTCTGAAATCACATGTAAGTATGACTTAAAAACATTAGACTTTAATTGGGCTGTGATCATTGGCTGCTACTATTATTTCCCCATTAAGAATTTGCAAGTAATACTTTTCAGAAAGTATATTAAGAAGGTGAACGTGCGAATATAAACCAACCTAACACCAATGTTTATGTTTTGGTTTGTCCCAGATGTTGACGTTCGAGGCGCTTCTGGTGAAAGAGCTGCAGAAACAGCAGAGCAGGGCTGAGTTCTGTGACATTGTGCTGCAGTCTGGAGGTTTGACTACTCATTACAGTTCACTTTCTGTTCATTTCCCTCAATATTCCTACATGTTCAAAGACGTGAATGGGCCTTGCATACACAAGTGGTGTAATACAGCTTTAAATGTCCCACAAAGAAATCTGATATATTGGAATATATTACACTTACAGTGCTCCGCATATATGAGTACACCCTCACAAATCTATCTGTTCAATTAATATTTTCTATAGGATGCTATCTGATATTATCAAATGTGTGCATATACACAGGGTGAGAATTATACATTGACGATCAGGGGGGTCAACATTTTCAGTAATGTTAGTTTGTGTAATACATGCTTCAGTCAATCAAATTTATTAATTATGTCTAATTTATTAATAACTAATTAACTACTTGAAGTCAAACTATAAAAACTGTGCAGCTAATTTTACTTTACTTTCAGGCTATATGTAGAAACAAACACCTATATTATAAAATAGAGTGTCTTAGTTGTCAACAAGTTAGTTGGTATGGTAAGCATGTCGACTGGTGGTCTAGAAATGACGAGTTTAAACTGTTTAAAGGGCAGCGAGGTTACTCCTTTTTTTTTCAGATTTAATATAAGTGTTTTGTGTCTCCAGAATGTGTCTGTAAAGTTTCAGCTGAAAACACCCATCAGATTTTTCATTATACCTTTTACAAGCTTCTATTTCACACATTTTTGCACCAGGGGCTGTTTTGTCGACTGCGCCTTTAAGGCTAGTCCTCCCCGCCTACCGTTTCTACGTGCCTTTCTGCGTGCCTTAATCTCCTCCTGGCTGCGTCAGACAACAGACAGACTTAAAGGAAGATCTCACGTAGCGTTTGTGAGAAATACTACAGTAAGAACTTTACCAATGAGGATTTGTTGTGCAGTTGCATTGATGAGTCGCACACAATGTTGTTACAAAGTTCACGCGCTCACACACACAAAGCAGCAGACACAGACACACACAGACAGACAGAATGTGCGTTTAGCTTTGCACTCTTTTTGCACGCATATGTGACAGGATACTGGTTAATCTCCGCTGCTGTATGGATATCTGTTATGTTAATGTACAAAATAAACCTGATTTAACGTCCACAAACCGGGACCCTTTATAATTGTTCTGACACGCAGCTGTGCGGATGAGGTAAAGCTGAAGTAAATCACTGTACTTCATTACACACGTGCACTGTTTTTAAACATTTTAAAGTTGTAAAACTCACTCTTGATCACATTTGATGATGATTGATGATGCTAGCGAACTGAACAGACCTTTTATTCCTGGTTGCTTTGCGCACGTCTGGTCTTGTTGATATGATTATACATGTGACTACCAGGACATGTTAATTTGCAGCTGTCAATCAATATTGGTGGGCGGGGGGACCGCACTCCTACGTCAAGTCTGAAAACCGCTCCAATTGGTCCACCGTTTTTATGTTGTTAAATTGAAAAAAAAAAAAAAAGGAATGTGTGTGTTTATATCATCCCAATATGACGGTCTATACACTATACCTACACACGTCTGTCCAAACAGCTTGAAAAGTATATATTTCACCATAGGTGCCCTTTAATGAATCTTTTTCTCGCAAAGATTGATTATGCATTAAAAATAGTATGAACCATTCTAGGGGTGGTGAAATTTATATTTATATGATCCATTATTTTATTTATTAATATCATTATTTAAGATAAATATTCAAATACCCCCCACCCCACCATACATGTTGTTTTGACATAATTCAAGCATTAATTAGCAGAGGTCAATCCCCCCCCAAACCCTCCTGCATATACATTATACACAAAATAATTTATGATAACAGTCTAAAAACGAGTTCACCCAAATTTATAACAGGGAAAAATATTAAGTTAGTGAAACAAAAATCATATAAATTGTATTTATTTATTTATTGATTTAATTATTTTTTGCAAAAGTTTGCATGAATTTAAATGTATTATCTTGCTATTTCTGAAGATGTTCTGTGACCAAACTATTATTTAAATAAATAGAACTGTTTGATGAATTTGTTTTGTTCAAATGCTCTAAATTATATTACCTATATTCATTGAGAAATGGGTAAAAATATACATTTTCAAAATGGGGTGTACTCGTATATGCTGAGCACTGCATGACTGATAAATATAAACCCACTGTGCCGAGATTATATTATATTATATTATATTATATTATATTATATTATATTATATCATATTATATTATATTATATTATATTTTATTTTATATACTCTGGGTGCTCCGGTTTCCCCCACAGTCCAAAGACATGCGGTACAGGTGAATTGGGTAGGCTAAATTGTCCGTAGTGTATGAGTGTGTGTGTGAATGTGTGTGTGGATGTTTCCCAGAGATGGGTTGCGGCTGGAAGGGCATCCACTGCGTAAAAAACTTGCTGAATAAATTGTTGGTTCATTCCGCTGTGGCGACCCCGGATTAATAAAGGGACTAAGCCAACAAGAAAATGAATGAATAAATGAATATTATATTATATTATATTATATTATATTATATTATATTATATTATATTATATTATATTATATTATATTATATTAAATTAAATTATATTATATTATATTATATTATATTATATTATATTATATTATATTATATTGTCAGGATGTGGTACATGTTTTTAAGAGTTTAATTAAAGTGATAATTTATTTGTATTTCTTATTTTGAAAATGTATTAATTTATAAAGAAATGCCCTGTTAAAGATTTTTGCTAAATGTCTTGAAATATATAAAGTTAAGTGAAATGTAGATTAGTTAATTGTGTTTTATTTAAACTAGGGTTGTCACGATACTGGAATTTGATATCAAACGGTACTGGAATTTTAAAAATGTCCATTTCCCGCTAACAAGTGCTGTCAAGCACATTTTTAAGCACTACTGATTTGCCATTGTGTTCACAAGCTAAACAGAAATGACTGAATGGTCATGAAAGTCATCAATTCACCAAACTCACCGCTATTTACTGAGTGTAACTGTAGATATAGGGGGACTGAAGTATTTTAAAGATCAGCTGGTCTGTTTATAAGCTGACATCCGAGCGATTTATTGATGAACTGATCTTTGCAGCTCATCTCTGATTTTGATCAACCACAGAAATTTCTGTTAAGCATGTGCACACAATGGCAAATCAGCAGTGTTTAAGAACACGCTCAACAGCACTTAAATGTTAGCGGGAAATTGACATCTTTTTAAATTTCAGTAGCGCATGACATCAAATTCCAGTATTGTGACGACATCAATGTAAACATTATAAAATAAAGTGGATTAAATAAATCTCTGTCTCTCTCAGGTGTATCTGTGCCGGTGCACAGCTGTGTTTTGTCAGCCTTCAGCCCTTTTCTCTGTGGTGCTCTATCAGCAATGCCATCACCCCAAAACGGACAGAAGCGTCTACTCGAAGTCCAGTCCATGGAGTCCTGCACATTACTCAGTCTGGTCAGTCTGTTATACACCGGTCAGCTCCATGAAGACAAAGAGGATGTCCTATCAGCGGCCTACAAACTAGGCATCAGCATACCTCAGAGATCGCCAATGAGGACGTCATCTGAGCAAAACACACAGACCGAGTGCACCACGGTGGAGAAAGAGTGCCAGACTGAAACGCTCTCTTCTGAAAACCCCATTGAAACTCTGGGAGCGTCTTTGTGGAGGAGCGATCAGGGGCTCTGCACATACACCGGCGGCTCTGACCTCACGCTGGATGTAGCACTTCAAAACATCCCGGGTAATCCAGAGAGCATGCCTTCCCTTCCAGTCATGGATGTGGTGCCTGAAAGCGCTATGTATGCCACTGTGAGTGGACCTGCCTGCTTGCCCCAGGTCTACGTTTGCCCCCCTGCAGCTACATCACAGCCACCTGCACCTCAACCATCTTTACCTTCTAATATTTCATACATTGATGCGTTGGTTAGTCAGGAGGAGTCTGCGGTGGGCGAGGATTGCGTTTTAGATGCATTTGCGCAGTTTGAGAATAACATTCCAGGATTCATCAACTACTTCATTGACGCTAATATTTCAGAGCAGAGTCAGAGGGGAGAAGTCAAAAGCAAGGGGAGGGGAAGAAGGGCACGAGGGGTCAGCGGAGGATTCAGTGTTAAGGGAGAGAAACCGAGTATTTCCAGAAGACAGCAGAATGTGGGAAGGTCTGGAAGGGTGGCGAGGATGGGGCAGGGTGGAGGCAGGGTTGGGAGGGTTTTCGGGAGCAGGCAGATGTTGAAGAATCGAGGCAGGCCACGACAAAGCACAGGAGCGATGAAAGAGGAAGGAGGGAGAGGCAGGTCTTCATCCAGGGCCAGACAGAGAGAGACAGGGAGCAGAGCGCTAGAGGGTCAGGTAGGTGTCAAACAATAAACCATCCATGCTTCCATCCACATATTTTGGACTATCGCATTAAAAAAAGGATGGAGACAGAAAGATGCGCATAATTTTTGAAAATGCGCATAAAAAAGGTATGTGCATAACTGAGTATTAGGCTGCATTTACAGAGCATGTGGCACAGATCTGATATGGCCCATGAACAAATCACATGGATACTGATTTACTCAACTCGGATTCAGGCCTTGTTCATATGTGGAAATTTATCCGATATGAATCGGATCTGTGTCCTCGTGTCTGCAGTGTAAGCAGGTGGATCGAATTTTCACCTGTCAATGCGAGTCGTGCATCATTAAAAACCGTAGCGAATGACGTCAAGTCTGACACTTTCATTTCAGAACAGACTGCAGCAGAGTCCCAAACCTAAAATCTCACACACGAGGACTTAAACATGCTTTAATATTGTCATATAGCACAGGTATTTAAGCATGTTAACAAGAGCAACAGAACGCAATGTCCGGCACATAACCAATATAAACTAATATAAAACTAGTGCATAGCTACATCACATGCATAAATCACGCCATGGAAACATTAAGATGCCTAAAGGTTTAAAAAAGTTATCAAAAGAAAATGGACAAATGGGAACCTTTCTGTCATAAACTATAGTAAAACAGCTCCTCAAAAGCTGCGAACAGATTAAATACAATAATAGAGAAAAGAGCACTCTTTAATTATCAGCTAATAGTCAGCGCCCGCTCTTTTTTTTTTTCTGGTCATTGCGCCTTTGCCGTGTGCTGTGTAAATGCAGACGATCAGATATGAGTCACTTTTAAAAGATAATGATGTAAGCAGGTCAGCAAAAAAATCGGATACAGTCACAAAATCGGAATTGAAAATCAAGATCTGCAGTGTAAATGCAGCCTTGGATAAGAAAAAAATGTGCATAAACTACTTTTGCTGTATAATTTCAGTATGTTCATTAATCCTTTGAGGCTCAATTTGGCCTCAACTTTATCTTTGTTCAAGATTTTTGGTGCCAAATCTTATTTTGACACATATTTTGGGAACATTTTCCAAAAACTAAACAATACACTTTGGGCAGATTTACTACTGTCATGTAATCAGACACATTCATTAGTTCCTTTATTAATCTGGGGTCGCCACAGCGGAATGAACCACCAACTTATCCAGCATATGTTTTACGCAGCGCATGCCCTTCCACCTGCAACCCATTACTGGGAAACATCCATACACACTCACTCACACACATACATTGCGGACAATTTAACTTACCCAATTCACCTATAGCGTATGTCTTTGGACTTGTGGGGGGAAACCAGAGCACCTGGAGAAAACCCACACCACACTGACTGTGCAAAAACAGAATAACATCTACTGTGCCTTAATTCGGACGAGTCCGCCTCACCTCCAAAATGTGGCCAGCTGCACTAAATGAGCGTTCGCTCACACCTCTTGTTGTAATGCACAAGATTCTTCTTGCAAGGTGCTGCAGTTGTGTAAATAAGCCATCTTGTTTCTCCCAGAACGATAGCAGATTTTCCTCTGATGACTTTGACTTTGATGAAAATTTGAACAGCATCTTGCACTTCATCCATTATTTTGGGCATCTCATCTTCTCGTTCTGTAAAGTCCACTTTCTGCTTTTTCGCTGGTACATTGCCATGTCCCGCTACATTCACCCGTAACCCACCTGCAATTAATCTTAATGTATTTTTTATTACCCAACGCGCCCGACCCGCAGATTATCTGCAGCGACCCTGGATATAACCGCCATCCGCGCATCACTAATATATATATATCTCACTTATTAATTTTTCTTTAGCTTAGTCCCTTCATTCATCAGGGGTCACAACAGCGTAATGAACCACCAACTATTCCAGTATATGTTTTTACAGCGGATGCCCTTCCAGCTGCAACCTAGTACTGGGAAACACCCATACACTCTCACATTCACATACATACACTACGGCCAATTTAGCTTATTCAATTCACCTAAAGCACGTCTTTGAGGAAAACCGGAGCACCCAGAGGAAACCCAAGCCAACACGGAGAGAACATGCAAACTCTGCACAGAAATGTCAACTGACCCAGCCGAGGCTCGAACCAGCGACCTTCTTGCTGTGAGGCGACAGTGCTAACCACTGAGCCACTGTGTATACATATACAGTCAAGCTCAAAATTATTCACACCCATGGCAAACTCGGATGCAAAGTTATTTAAAGAAATATATTTTTTACTATCTTATTATTGTTATTATTATTATTATTATTATTACTATTATTATTATCAAGGTGAAGTCCATGTCCTTTCCGGTTAAAAAATACCTTGCTAGTTGAATAAAAGTCTCTGAAATAAAACCCTGTCAATTTTCCTGTAGGTTGCAGCGCCGGCTCCAAAGCGAAGAGGTCGTCCCCGCAAGTATCCCTTGCCCCAATCAAATGCTTCCCGAAATTCCCCGCCCAATCAGAAAACCGTGAATCTTCCGGCTCCATCCCTGATGCACACCGTGGCTCTACCTGCAGCCAACCCGACCGGCCTCTCTCAGCCAATAGACTGGCTCATAGATGACGTCATTGCACAGCTGCCATTAATGCCCAACAACCAGCACACAATAGACACTGCAACTCCAGATCCTAATCCAAAAACTCAGCCCTCAGTAAAGCTCACCGATCCAGCCATAGTCCAACCACAATCTGAAGGTGAGCTGACTGACATACTGGACAGCTTTCTGAGAACGTTCGAGCAGCACATTAGCGTATGTGACGCTGATGGTCAAGATGCAGTGATGCCCACTGATGATCACCTGACTTGTGGACAGTCTACGTCGAATGCACATGACGCTTTATTAAACACGACAACACTAAACTCAATATCCAAGAATAGACTACGACCCGCTCGTAGACCACAGAAACCGTCAACCTATTGGCAGCTGACAGGCATGAAAATGGAGAAATCGCCTGGAGATCAAGGCGAAGAGATGCCTGCCGTAATGACCAGAAGCCAGAGTAGAAAGAGAAAGCAGGAGGTCATTGAGGAGCTGTTGAGGAGAGACCCGGTGAAGAGGAAAAAACAGAAAAAGGAGCGTTCAGAAAAGACTAGGAATGACTTCTCTGTAGCAAAGGAGGCAGAAAGACCAACTCAAATGTTGAACGGAGAGCCAAAGCACTTCCTGAGCAAATTTGAGCCCAGCAAATTGAGGAAAGTCATGAACACAGCCAGCGCTAACAATATGAAGATCTCAAAGCCTTTACAACAGTCTTCAGATCAGACTTGTGTCAAAAGGAAACGCACTAAAAGAGACAAAACCAAACCTCTTGCGGAAGGAAGCGCGTCAAAGATGGCATCCAGTACGACGAGTTCACAACCACTCTCACCAAATCAATCCAGACCGGCTCTTTCTGCTTTTGACTTGGTGAAACAGATTTTGGAAAGTCAGCAGAGGAGAGAGAGAGAGCACAAGGAGCACAGGATGTGGAGGGTGAAGAAACAGAAAGAGAAAGACCGGGTTAAAAGCATGCACGCATGTGGAGCAAAAGAGAAGGATGACGGAGTGAAAATGCACAGTAATAGCAGGATAGACCAAAGACATGAGGAAATGAGAGGAAGAATGGAGGAGGACCAGAGGACCACATGCCTTCTTCAGCAGCAGCCAATAGATGAAGGTCAGAGATTAATGGGTTGGCTGATGTTAAATGTTAATTGTGCGTGGTATGTTCCCCTGATTTATATTTATGCCATTGTTACGGTGTAAAGGTGCCATAGAATTGCTTTTGAAATGAGATTTAATGGCTCGTTTGCAATAAGCGTTATGGTTTGGTACAGTCAGAAGTATTAAAATGCCACCAAAATGCTATCCATACCACCTTTTTAGCACACTTTCTAAAGCATACCTTGCACAACAGTACAGTGTTTAAAGAAGGAGCTTGACTTACTACTGAACGATACTGGTTTACAGAGAATCATCACTTGTAAGTGTAACAAGGCAGTGCATTTTTCACAGCCAAAACACGACACCATAATTACACAATAATGGCGTGCATTAATGAACCATGGTCAGCATAAGCTCTAGCAAAATGAGTTTCTTTTTGTGATAAACAGTCACAAGCCAGGCAAGAACATGATCTGCTGTGTGTCCTCTATTGTTGTTTCCGAGGCCAATCACATGTTGTGTCTAAAAAATGTGTGGAAAGTGCAAGAGGCGTCTCTTCTCTATTTGTGTGCACCTTTGCATGTCTACATTTAAAAATTATGAACCTGAGTGTGAATCTGCTGTTAAAACTAGCCTAGAGCACCATCTGCTGTTTAAACTAGCCTAGAGCACCATCTGGTGTTTAAACTAGCCTAGAGCACCATCTGCTGTTAAAACTAGACTAGAGCGCCATCTGCTGTTAAAGTAGACTAGAGCAACATCTGCCATTAAAAAAGTAGCCTAGAGCGCCATATGCCATAAAAAAAACTAGCATAGAGCACCATCTGCCTTTAAAAAAGTAGCCTAGAGCGCCATATGCCATAAAAAAACTAGCATAGAGCACCATCTGCCTTTAAAAAAGTAGCCTAGAGCGCCATATGCCATAAAAACTAGCATAGAGCACCATCTGCTATTAAAAAAAGTAGCCTAGAGCGCCATATGCCATAAAAAACTAGCATAGAGCACCATCTGCCAATAAAAAAAGTAGCCCAAAGCATCATCTGCTGTTAAAAGAAAAGCCTAGAGCGACGCCTGTCATTAAAAAAGTACCCTAGAGTGCCATCTACCATTAAAAAAAGTAGCCCAAAGCATCCTCTGCTGTCAAAAAAACTAGTCTAGAACATCATCTGCTATTAGAAACTAGCCTAGAGCACCATCTGCTATTAAAAAAATCTAGATCGCCATCTGCTGTTAAAAAACTAGCCTAGAATGCCATATGCTGTTAAAAACTAATCTAGAGGGACATCTGATGTTAAAAACTGGCCTAGGGCACTATCTGCTATTAAAAGCTAGCCTAGAGCGCCATCTGCTAATAAAAACTTGCATAGAGCACCATCTGCTATTAAAAAACTAGCCTAGAGCGCCATCTGCCTTCAAAAAATTAGCCTAGAGCGCTATCTGCTGTTAAAAACTAGACTAGACTGTAATTTGCTGTTTAAAAAGTAGCCTAGAACGCCATCTGCTGTTCAATCATGATGCCGCAGACTGTTTTCACCCTGACTAAAAACATAATAAAAAAGAAAAACACTTAAATATGCATCAGCCTGATTTAAAACTTCCTGAACTGATGACTCAATCTAAAGAATTTAGGCTCGTTTGAGGTGCGCCTCGCCTTGACTGCATTGTAAACGAGAGCAGGCGTGCGCAGTAAGAGGAGGGCTCAAAAATTACATCAGAAGTCGGACACCTGCCGAATCTCGCTGTTTAGCCACCTGGAAACGTCACCAGTGGCGGAGATCTCGTTCGCGTTTTTTATCGCAGACGAATGACCTCATGAAAAAATACTATGGTGATTTATAGTAAATATTACTGCATTTTTGAACATGTTTTTTCAGTATTGGGTTGTGTTTATAGTTGTTGTGATACCAGAAATATAAAATTTAAATAGGCTATTTTATAACATGGTTCAAAAGCACTACAGTATACATTACTATAGTATTTTTTAATGTGGGAGTGGATGCAATAGAAATATCTCTGTTTTTACAGAGATGGTCAGAATTACAGAAGATGAACAGCTCATTAACTAAAAGGGTGTATTAAAAATATAATTCTGTATATTCAACAAACGTTAAAAGAATAACAAAATAAACAGCTTATACAGCAAGAAAGCTTTCAAGAAACCTAATTTGGCTACATTATAAATGAAGTAGCCATAGCAAGATGCTTTTGAGTGACAAGTCATGACAAATGTTTGTTTGACAAATAAATTCTTAGGGGGTTAATTATATTGACATGCTTATTAGGTCTATATAAACTGTTTTTACTCCAGCCAGATTAAAATAAATAGCCCAAGACTTTCTCCAGAATAAAAACTATTAGACTGTAGGAAAAACTGTGGAAATGTTCTTGGTCTATTAAACATGACTTTTGACTCCACATACATATACATATACATGTGTGTGTGTGTGTGTGTGTGTGTGTGTCTTGTTTACTACACCCTTTTCACTTCTCATATGAAACCACACAAAGATGAGGCATAATGACAAAACAGTCTGATTACCTTTGTATGTCTGAATATATGTATATATTGGATTGACTTTAATGGAATAATGCTGCATAAAAATTACAATACAAAATTCACACAAACATACAAAAAGTGAAAATGACAACAAACAGGACTTAAGACTGAGAGAGAAATAGAATACAGCACACACATCCTAATGATTTATTAGTAACATTTAGTTATATTGGATAGGTCACGTTATGTTTTACAAAGATGTGTTTTGTTTTTGTTTGCGTGTAAATCTAAATAAATAACCATATTTAATGCTCTTAATGACTTTTTTTTTTAATTATCAAAGAAAATACAAAAAAGGTATTCAACAAATCCAGGTATAAACCTTAGTAAAACAAGATTATAAAGTGTAATGTGTCAGTCTCATCCAATCAGCATTAAGCTGTGTCGTCAGCCAGTCGTTTCCCATCATGCTTTTGGTAACGCAGTCTTTTGAGAGCAACTGCGGCCGACTGCTCTATCCGAGGTACCCGCCTCGCGTTCGCGAGAGTTTTTTTGGTGCACGTCAGCGTGACATCAGAGCGAGGCGAAGGCAAGGCAGACACATTTCTAACCGGCATGCATCTTGCGGTGATCACCGGTGATCGATTCTGCGCAGATTTTGGCCAAGTCAAACGAGCCTTTTGTTTCACACTTAAATATAATTTATTATTATTGTTATTATGATGATTTAATAATGAGATTTAAAAAAAATCATTTTCAGTTTTTCTCAGTCGCTTTGATGCATTTCTCACAACACAATTTACATTTTATGCATTTCTCAAAACAATTAGTCATTTGTGCACATCCTAGTAGCAGTTTCTCATTCCTTCCAGCAAACTGCAAATGCTTTTGTACGTGCATCAATTGCTTTCATACAACTCTCTGCTATTTATAACATTATCAGTTGCTTCTGTCATGTCAGTCTAATCAAACTAAACTTGTAAATGCTTATTAGTCATTCCATATTAAACTAATAGTCCTCATTTCATTACTTGAGTCATTACATACACAAATGTTGAACTAAGAAAATATATATTTTTAATCTTTTTTTCTTGAAAATGTCTTCTAAATTAAACAATTTCATGAATGATTTAAATATCTATGCATGTTGTAGGTTCAGTTCCAACAGAGCTCTACCCAAAGCAAGTTTCTGTTTGTTGTAAATAAGGCTGTATTTATTCTTTTGCACAATGCTGTAAATAAATTAGGATTGTAAAGAGCAAATGCAGTAAACATGTGAAACATACATAATCAGTAGCTATGTTTCAATCCAAAAATGCTAATAAACTTTATGCGCAAAACTCGATTATCGCATAAAAGTTGTGCGAATGAAGCCAACGAGCTTCCATCCAACGAGTCAAAGCAAAAAAAATTGTCCCTTCCTGATTAACTGGCGCCAAATATCAACAGTAAAAACTGCATTTGCTGCAGTAGGAGAAGCCGCATCAATCTTTTCTAAATGAATGCGCCTCAGAAGACAATCCTGACAAGCAGTGAGCGCGCAGTGGCGTTTGAAGGTGTCAGACGCGGAGCACAGGCGCTCTTGATTCTGGAGGTCATTAATAATATAATAACACTAATACTGAAATGGTAAGGCGTTTTATAATGACCAAAACAACATTTCAGATGTTTTATTATGTGCTCAGCCTGACGTTTTGTCCATTCACACACATTTTAAGCATCACATGATCTCTTTCAACAATATCACATGACCTTTTTTAATGCACATGCTGGAGTTTGTGCGGTAAAAGTGTTTCCATCGCAGTTTATGCGCATCTTTTCTTATCGAATAAAAAGTTTATCCTACCCAGTTAGGCGCATACGTTTTTTTATGCGCATTTTCAAAATTTATTCGCATCATGGCGTTTCCATCAACTGTTGTTTTTATGCGCATTTTGCAAATATTATTGCAAATAATAGGTGGATGGAAACATAGCTAGTGTCTTGTACTCCGATACCTCACTCAATGCAGTGATGTCTAACTTTACTGTAGTTTTCAAATGGCTGTGCAAATAGTATATAGCGCTGTCTTGAGCATGTTCAGGAAGTGTCACCAAAATCTGACTTTTTTGCATTGAAAAAATATACAGAGTAAAGTGTCATAATGAAAACATGACAAAGCCATTTGACTATTTAGTTCATAAACAGTGGTGTCAGGACTTTTCTTCTTGATGTTACTGAGACTTTAATTGACATGAATACTTGCTTTTGAGGAATGAACTATCCATTTTGAGCAAGTGACGCGCTTCTGCAGGTTATTAACTAGGTTTTGCAGTTTGTACTAATTGTTTTGAGAAATGCATGAACTGTTGTGCAAATGTAAATAGTGTTGTGAGAAATGCACCAAAGCCACCGAGAAAACCTGTAAATGAAAAGTGTGGGTTTGTGTCTTATACTGCAGCCAGCCACCAGGGGGCGACTCAATTATTTTGGCTTCACTTTTTCATTGATACACTCTTCACGATCTATAAAAATAATTCGATTCCTCGATCCCACTTGTAGGATTATTTTGATAATTTATAGTGTAGTATTCAATAATATAATTACGTAATATTATTTATAACAATATAAGAAAAATTTAATAAATAAAAGTTATAGTATAATGTTTTAATTTGAATTTTTTACATTTTTGTTGAGTTTGTCATTTCATGCCAGTTTTAACATTACTAATAATTAGTAATTAATTAGTATTTCAAATTTAGAAAAGTTGCATAGTTACTGTATCTAACTTGAAAGCCCCTCAGACTGATCATTTTCGATTTAGCCTTTACAAATGTATTAGCAATAACAAAGTTAAAGCTTTTAATGAATTCCTCTGTATGCTAATTATCATCTATTGACAGAACACACAGAGACTAGAGAGAGACTGATGGAGAACGGCTTCAGCAGATGCGGATGCGAGACGGCTGACTCTGTTTTTCCGAGACGCAGCACAGAAGACCGTGGGCTTAAAAGCACAGCAGACGTGACTCTCGCCTCAGCGTCTCCTCATGAGAAACTCACAGACCCTTCAGATGAAGATGTGGACGTGGTGGAAGTTTCCAGCAGTTTGTCCGAGTCGTTCTCTGTCCTGCCGCTCACAGAGATGGAGCCCAGCACAGATGAAGAGGACAGCGATGAAGACCAGGAGATCGACGTCATCAGTGTTGGATCTCATTAAGCTGATTTCCGTTACTTTTTAATAGCGTTTAGCTGTTCCGGATACCCCTCCCGTATGGATGCAGATCTGAACATTCCCTGTCTGCATGTAATTCAGCACTCAGTTTGCAGTGTGACGGTTGCAGAATTTCGACTTTTGTGGCTTCAGTTTATTTAGACACAAGAAATCTTTTCAGTTCTGGATGTAGAAGTTGTTTGTTTGCGTCAACCGTGCCGTCTTGTACATAATGAGAATGCTGTAAATGCACGCTGAGTTTCCTTATCGTTTCCTGCATTTTGTAGCCATGTTCAGAATAAACAGACATGGATCAGGTGTTTGTTGTTCTTGTGTTCACAACTGAAGCGTGTGGAGCGGATAAATAGGCAAAGCTTTGAACAATGGACTTCCTTTTTGATTTATAGGGGGCCTGTTATGCAAATAATCACTTATATTCAACTTTTTCATTGACCACTTTGTGATCCTTCTATTTCAACATTTGAACGTTATTTCTACAAATAACAACTCAGGTGGCACGGTGGCTAAGTGGTTAGCACTGTTTCCTCACCTCAAGAGGTCTCTGGTTCAAGTTCCGACTGGGCCAGTTGGCATTTCTGTGAGAAGTTTGCATGTTCTCCCTGTGTTGGCGTGGGTTTGTAGGTGAATTGAATAAACTAAATTGGCCGTAGTGTGAGAGAGTGAATGGGTGTTTCACAGTACTGGGTTGCAGCCGGAAGGTCATGTGCTGTATAAAACGTAAATTATTATAAATTTTTTATTAGTTTGAATGATTTAATACTTAATGTAATTTTTTTATTTATTGTTTAATGCTCTATGTTTTCCTGTTATATTAATTATTACATTTTTTTTATTAGTTTGAATTAGTTTATCTTTCGCATTCACATAATTTTATTATGTTATGCTCAGTGTTGAGCTTTTGTTGTTGTTTTTGTAAATGAGTCGATATATTTTCTTATTATTATAATTGTAATTTGTTTTATTAATTTGAAAGTTGATATTTAATTTTGTTGTGCTCAATTTTGAGTTTTTTTAAAAATGAGTCTAATATTTTTCTATTGTATTTTTTTAAATGTAATTTTTTTATTGGTTTGATTTAGTTGATATTTAAATGTTTTTATTATTTTATTGTGTTATGTTCAATTTTGAGTTTTTTTTTAAATGCGTCTTTATATTTTCCTATAATTTATTATTATAAATTTTTTATTAGTTTGAATGATTTAATACTTAATGTAATTTTTTTATTTATTGTTTTATGCTCAATTTTATTTATTTATTTTTTTTAAAGTGTATAATATTTTCCTATTATTATATTCATTCATTCATTCATTTTCTTGAATGAATTTATTAAACCGCCAACTTATCCAGCACGTTTCTACCAATGACTGTAAAAAATATGGACGACGCGACAGCCCTTTTTCCCATTGAACGCCTTGAGGGCAATGACGGGCGCAAACTGTCGCAAAAGACTGCTGAAATTGGAGCCTTGACATGCGCAGAAGGATTGTCTGATGGAGCCAGAGGAGGAGCCGCGAAAATGAGCGGAGTCGAGCTTCCAATCAAACGCTTTATGTAAAATCAACTACGCCCCCCGAACTTCTCAGCATGCGTTTGCTGTCATATCAACACAAATGGATGTAATAACGTTAACAAATATGAGGGTTTTATATATTCAATCGCGCCAGCTCAGGGCTGCAGCGCATAACTTACTCGCGGCGTCGCGGGCTGATTCCGGCTCGCATGCGGCAGCGCCTGCTCGTTTGGCCGCCGCATCTGGCTCGATTGACTCGGACTGGAATCGGGCAGTGAGTCCAGGCATCCGGAGTAGGTCCAGCAGAGGTAACATTAGTCAGTCTGAGCTCTAAGAGATAAGTCTCCGGCAGGCGAGAATCTAGCCGGAACTGTGTTTTGCTATCTGGGTGGCTAGGCGTGTATCAGCAAACTAATAAAGCCCGAAAAAAGCCCTGAACTTAGCGAATAAACAGTGTTCCACCAGGATCATGTATGTCAGAAACTATAGTTTACTGCTGAACTCATTTTGTCATGGTAAAATAACACAGAAATCGAATAATAACATTTCAGTCTACTTCAGTCTCCTGCCGAAGCTCAGACGCCGCGCTTTGAGAAACTGTCAATCACAGCTGTCAATCACGATGACACGCCCAGCATTAAATTACTGCTAAAAACAAACTGTTTACAAAAATGAAGATCTGCACCTATTTCAGCACAATAACCAGTGCCTTAATCAACCAGAACCATCTTTCGGGACATTTTATTGCAAGTGTAATGTTTTTTTTTATTTGGGCTCAAGTCTCCTTCATTAACACGGAGGAGGTGGGCTTTATGACTTGTACTGCAGCCAGCCCCCAGGGGGCGATCTAACGGCCGAAACCTTCACTCAAACGTAGGCTTGCGGCACACTTGGTTTCTACACAACAGATGCCCTTCCAGCCGCAACACATCTCTGGGAAACATCCACACACACTCATACACTACGGACAATTTAGCCTACCCAATTCACCTGTATCGCATGTCTTTAGACTGTAGGGGAAACCAGAGCACCCGGAGAAAACTCACACGAACACAGGGAGAACATGCAAACTCCACACAGAAACGCCAACTGAGCCAGCAGTTATTATTTTGTTAGTTTGAATTAGTTCATATTTATTTTTTATTGTGTTGTGCTCAATGTTGAGTTTTTGTTTTGATAAATGAGTCTATTTATTTTCCTATTATTATATTGATTAAAATTTTTTAATTGTTTTATTAGTTTGAATTAGTTTATCTTTCCTATTCGTATGATTTTATTGTTATGATTTTTTTGGTAAATGAGTCTTTATATGGGGCATCACGGTGGCACAGTGGGTAGCACAATCGTCTCGCAACAAAAAGGCCGCTGGTTCGAGCCTTGGCTGGGTCAGTTGGCATTTCTGTGCGGAGTTTGCAGGTTGCAGTCAAAAGACTTGGTATAGGTGAATTGGATGAGCTAAATTGTCTAGTAAATGTGTGTAAATGAGTGTGTATGGGTGTTTCCCAGTGATGAGTTGCAGCTGGAAGGAACACCTATACACACTCATTCACACACATACACTACAAACAGTTTAGCTCATCCAATTCACCTATAGCGCATGTCTTTGGACTGTAGGGGAAACCAGAGCACCCAGAGTAAACCAAAGCCAACATGGGGAGAACATGCAAACTCCACACAGAAATGCTAACTGACCCAGCCGGAGTATTTTTCTATTGCTATAATAATTATTATTTAATATATATTAATTAAACAATAATTTGTTATATTTCTTTTTGTTTGTTTTAATTAGTTTATATGTGCCATTCTTTATATTATTCAGGAGCTTATTGTGTTGTGCTCAATCACGATTTTAAATAAGTCTATAAATAAATAAATGTATCTTTTTCTATTATTAATATTTATTTTTTTATTAAATTGTTTTTAAATGAGCCTATATATATCTTTCTGTTTTTATAATATTATATTTTTCATTTTTTATTAGTTTGAATTAGTTTATTTTATATTATTTAGGAGCTTATTGTGTTGCGCTCAATTTTGAGTTTTTTTTATTTATTTGTGTCTATATATTTTACCATTACATTATTATAATAATTATTATCATTATAATTGGTTTTAGTTTAATATGCTTAATGTTGAGTTTTTGTTTTTTACATGAGTTTTTTAAATGAGTATATATTTTCCTATTATAATATTATTATCATTTTCATTTTTTTATCAGTTTGAATGTTTACATTAAATTTTTTTGGTTTGTGTTATGCTCAATGTTGAGTTTTTGTTGTTTTGTTTTTTTAAATGAGTAGCTATTTTTCTATAATTATAAAATTATAGTTTTTTTATCCGTTTGAATTAGTTTATATTTCCCATTTTTATAATTTTATTTTTTATTAGTTTGAATTAGTTTATAATGAAGTTTTTATGATTTTATTATGTTATGCTCAATTTTGAGTCTATAAATCTTCCTATTAAAATAATAATCATTGATAATAATCATAGTTTTTAAAAACACCTTTTCATATCTAGTTCAGCATTTAAATACCTAATGAAACCTAATTTTCTCATTATTATGACTGATATATGATGCATTTCTTTACAAACCCAATATTCAATTCAAATTCATCTGTACAGCGCTTTTAACAATAATCAGTGTTTCAAAGTAGCTTTACAAAAGGTCCACATTATTGCATTACAATCAAAATCAATGCTAATTAATTTAATTAACTAAGTTTTAACATTAAGAGTGATTATATATATAAGCATAATTCACCTGCAATTATATAGTATATAGATCACATCATTGTGCACATGTTCAATCAAGTGTATTAGTTACCATAACTTTATTTATTACTTTAACTAATAGCTTTAAACAGTTAAAGTGATTATATATAAGCATAATTAACCTGCAATTATATAGTATATAGGTCACATCATTGTGCACGTTCAATCAAGTGTATTAGTTACCATAACTTTATTAATTACTTTAATTAACTACTAATAGCTTTAAACAGTTAAAGTGATTATATATAAGCATAATTAACCTGCAATTATATAGTATATAGGTCACATCATTGTGCACGTTCAATCAAGTGTATTAGTTACCATAACTTTATTTATTACTTTAACTACTAACTAATAGCTTTAAACAGTTAAAGTGATTATATATAAGCATAATTAACCTGCAATTATATAGTATATAGGTCACATCATTGTGCACGTTCAATCAAGTGTATTAGTTACCATAACTTTATTTATTACTTTAACTACTAACTAATAGCTTTAAACAGTTAAAGTGATTATATATAAGCATAATTAACCTGCAATTATATAGTATATAGGGGATGTCATTGTGCACATGTTTAATCGTGTATTAATTACTATAACTTTATTAATTATTTTAATTATCTAATAACTAATAGCTTTAAACAGTTAAAGTGATTATATATAAGCATAATTAACCTGCAGTTATGTAGTATATAGGTCACGTCATTGTGCACATGTTCAATCAAGTGCATTAGTTACCATAACTTTATTAATTACTTTAACTACTAACTAATAGCTTTAAACAGTTAAAGTGATTATATATAAGCATAATTAACCTGCAGTTATATAGTATATAGGGGATGTCATTGTGCACATGTTTAATCGTGTATTAATTACCATAACTTTATTAATTATTTTAATTATCTAATAACTAATAGCTTTAAACAGTTTAAGTGATTATATATAAGCATAATTAACCTGCAATTATATAGTATATAGGTCACATCATTGTGCACATGTTCAATCAAGTGTATTAATTACCATAACTATTTATTACTTTAATTAACCACTTACTAATAGCTTTAAAAAGTTAAAGTGATTATATATATATAAGCATAATTAACCTGCAGTTATATAGTATATAGGGGATGTCATTGTGCACGTTCAATCAAGTTTATTAGTTACCATAACTATTAATTACTTTAATTACCCAGTAACTTTTAACAGTTAAAGTGATTATATATAAGCATAATTAACCTGCAGTTATATAGTCTATAGGTTACGTCATTGTGCACGTTCAATCAAGTGCATTAGTTACCATAACTTTATTACTTTAATTAACCACTAACTAATAGCTTTAAACAGTTAAAGTGATTATATACATGCACAATTAACCTGCAATTATATAGTATATAGGTCACGTCATTGTGCACGTTCAATCAAGTGTATATTACCGTAACTTTATTAATTACTTTCAAGTGTTTTAGTTACCATAACTTTAATAATTACTTTATCTGATAACGAATAACTTTAAACAGTTAAAGTGATTATATATATGAGCAAAATTAACCTGCAGTTATATAGTATATAGGGGATGTCATTGTACACGTTCAATCAAGTGTAGTAGTTAACATAACTATTAATTACTTTAATTACCTAATAACTTTTAACAGTTAAAGTGATTATATATAAGCATGGTTAACCTGCAGTTATATAGTATATAGGTGATATCTATGTGTACACAAACATGTTCAACCAAGTGTATTAAGTGTGTGTGTGTGTGTTGTCCTTGAAGTCTTACGCACTGAACAACTGCACAGAACTGAAGTGAACACAGGTTTGATTATCAAGCATTTATTAGTGTGTGTAGTTTTGAGTTCCACCTGAGCTGTTTTGGAGCATCTCTGAAGGGTCAGTCTTCGTCAGTAACTGTGACCCACACCCTCGTCCCACACACCATGGTGAGTGTGCGGCGAAAAAGTGTGTGTTTCTAGCAGTACAAAGACACCGGCGAGGAAGAAGAGTGTTGTGTGTCGGGGCGGGTTGGAGGTTTTCTTAGTGCTGGATCCTACGGATGGACTGGATCTGAGGTGTTTGACTGTGGGATCCCCAGTTCCTCCAGTGCTGGAAGTCTCCGCTGTGCCTCTCGCACTCCATGATGTACTGCCTGCCCTTGTAGCCCGGGAACTCGTAACACACAAAACTGCGCACAGAGAATGCAGAGTGAGGATCAGATACTTGTATATTTTACCTCCAATTTCTGTTTAATGGAAAGTAGATGATTTTTTCAAGACATTTATAAACATAACCAGCGTGTACGCAGGGTCTTATCAATTTTTAACACTTTTTTTATTTCAATTTATTGAAATTTAAGGCCCTTAAAAAGTCTTCAATGCTATTTTAAAAGGTATTTAATTTCGTTTCAGTATGCTAAAGTTTGCTTGAATTTAATCTTTGAATGTTGGGATGATGTGTAGTTTATGAAATCAAACAAATCCTGCTAGATTTACTTGTTTTTTACTGCAGTAAACCAGGGAAACACTGTTATTCCTGCTGTTGTAAAGGCGCCACCTGCTGGATTAACTCAGTACATTATTCAGTGTATATATATATATATATATATATATATATATATATATACACCGTTTTAGTTTAGGATTTGTTTCTTGCAATTAGTATTTAGTTAACATTGCAAGTTAAAATGTCTGCAATGTTACTTGGTGAAACCTGAAGTGGTGGTGAGGTCTTAAAATGTATGCAGAGTCTTAAATATGGTCTTAAAAGGTATTGAATTTCAATCTTTGATTCATGTTTATACCCTGATAATAGTTTTAATAACTAATTTCTAGTAACTTTATCTTTGCCATGATGACAGCACATAATATTTTACTTTAAGACACTAGTATTCAGCTTAAAGTGACATTTAAAGGCTTAACTTGGTTAATTAGGGTAATTAGGCAAGTCATTGTATAACTGGTTTGTTCTGTACACAATTGAAAACAAATATAGCTTAAAGCGGCTGATAATATTGACCTTAAATGGCTTTTAAAAAAATAAAAACTGCTTTTATTCTAGTCGAAATAAAGCAAATAAGACTTTTTGCAGAAGAAAAAATATTATAGGAAATACTGTGAAAATGTGTTTGCTCTGTTGAGCATTATTTGGGAAATATATAAAAAAAAAGGAAATTTACAAGGGGGCAAATAATTCTGACTTCAACTGTACCTTACAAAATATCCCTACTCAATACCATGGGGAAGTACTGGCACATCATTAACTATGTTTCCATCAAGGGAATGACCTCTTGCCTTGCCTTAGAAAAGATTAACTATTTTTTTGGAAAACTAAATTGATGTATTTTGGTCCATCTAAAAAGTGACTTTGGAGAGTCTAGATCAGGGGTGCCCAAACTTGGTCCTGGAGGGCCGGTGTCCTGCAGAGTTTAGCTGCTACTTGCTTCAACATACCTGCCAGAAAGTTTGTAGTACATGGGTGCTCAACCCTGTTCCTGGAGATCGATCTTCCTAAAGAGTTCAGCTCAAAAGCTGATCAAACACACCTGAATCAATTAATTAGGACCTGAACAGCACTTGATAATTACAGGCAGGTGTGTTTGATATGGGTAGCAACTGAAATCTGCAGGAAGGTTGATCTAAAGGAACAAGGTTGGTCACCCCTGTTGTAGTACATCTAGTAAGAGCTTGATTAGCTCGTTCAGGTGTGTCTAATGGAGCTAAAGTCTGCAGGGCACTGGCCCTACAGGACCAAGTTTGGGGACCCCTGGTCTAGATGGTGACTCTTTTGTTGAACTGATGGACATTGAATATATAGATAAGTATGCAGTGTGGGGTGTAACGCATAAGTAACACAAATTACGCAATAATTAAAGCATAATTTTTAAAAATGTATAACATCTAAGTTACTTTTTAAAAATGTAATGCGAGTTACTTTTTAATTTAGTTATTTCGATTTAAAAAAAATAAATTTCTGAATTAAAATTAACGTTAAATCCCTCCTTCAATAAGATAAATTTCTCTCTGCAAAAACAAACAGAAACCAAGATGGCAGAGCTTTACATTTCTGCTCTGGAAGAATTCTCATTATTCTTAATGCATGACAGAAAAGTAAAAGGAGATAGTCTCAATGCTCATTTTACTTCACTAATAGGACAAAAAAGTACAAAAGCATCAAACACATGGCTTTAAACTTTCATTAATCTGTTACCCTACAGTACATTACTATTATTTGATGTGTTTTTAAAAAGTAAATAAAGGTTAGTGTGTTAATTGAGGAGCTTCTCTATTAAAAAAGGTAAGTAAAAGTAACTCAAAAGTAACGTGACGCATTACTTTCCATAAAAAGTAACTAAGTAATGCAACTGAATACTTTTCTGAGGAGTAACTCAATATTGTAATGCATTACTTTCAAAAGTAACTTTTCCCAACACTGCAAGTATATTATTGCTGTTTTACTGTTTAATAATAAAAGAACGTTTCAGATGTTTTACAATGTGTTCCCAATGCCGTCCCATCGCAACCAAGTTTGTTTTTGTTATAATCTGTTAAAACAAAATCACATGACTTTTTTGAAGCTGGAATTTATTTGGTGAATGTATTTCCATCGTCATTTATATGCATTTTTTATCGGATAAAAAGTTTATCCTCCTCAATTGTGTGCAGACTATTTTTATGTGCATTTAAAAAAAATATATGCACATTTTGGCGTTTTCATGGTTTAAAATAACACTAATGTCTTAATAGTTAAATAAAACAGTGTAAAAAATATCTGTTAATCATCACTTTCCATATTTTGTGATTCACAAGTGTTTTCTGTTTATTTACGGTTGTGAATTGCATTATGGGATGTTGATCTCTGTCCACTTTTGATGTTAAAAATTCAACTCTGCAGTTTAACAAAGTGACTTTTATTGACATTTTAATAGCTTGAAATAATATAATGGATACAAAAATAATAAATAGAGAGAAATAAGTCGGTGATATGTAACTATAATATACAACACCAACAATATATCACTAAAAATGTTAATAAAAGTCACTTTTTTTTAACTTTTAAAGGGTAAAAGTTGTTGGAAGAAAGATTAAGTTCACATAATGCAATTATAAAACCCAAATATTTTTCCAAAATATGGAAAAATAAAAACAAACACATAATACAAAAAACATCTAATTTACAGATATTTTTACAGTGAACTGAATTAATACTTACTACTGCTTTACTCATTTCTAGACAGTACTTTTTACTATCCGGTCAGACCAGTTAAAATGTTTACGCATTAAGTAATGAATACATATTGAGAAATGGATACTTATGACAATACTATACTAAGCTAAATACAGTGAGCATATGTAGAGGAGATAAAGAATTAGACTCACGCGCCGCACTGCACATGCATGGATCCCACTTCAGGACGGCACCATCCCATGGCCTGCAGAGATGGGTAATCATCACACAGCTCAGCGTTGCGGCCCAGGAAATTCTCCCTCTCGAAGATGGTCATGCGGCTGCTCTGGTGAGACTGAGACGAGACAAAAACAAATGAAGATGTGTAGAGATGCAAGCAGGGCCTGAAAATGAACAATCGTCGAGTGACAAATTTCATTGAGAAAAAAATCTTCCCTGTTAACCACACATTCTACCACACATTTTATTTTATAGCTCTTTGAATCTGCCCCTTTTAGGCTTTGATCCAAATAGTGCCGTTTTAGAGACTGTCGCTTTAAATTCAAATGAGATTGTGCTCTTTTCAAAAGAGGGCGGAGCTACAACCGTCTTTGCACCAGCATAGTGGCAGATTCAAAACAAGACAAACGTCATCTCTGTCAAAAAGTCAAAAGAAGCGTCTCAGAACGCGTCAGTTTATGGAGACTCTAGTGCTCATTTGTGCATCCTAAAACTCCACATTTATAATCCTTAGTCGCTGACAAAAATCTTCAGCAGGTCAAAACTCTCCTGCTTCTCACTTAGGGTTGTCTATGCTAATGAGGGAGAGATCACTAACGCCCCATTCACACGGGGCTTCAGCATCAACCTGAAGGCGTGTCTGAAGTTGGGGCTGAAGTGATCGTCATAGAAGCGTCAGCCAATGAAATTCAGTCAGCAATAGGCCACTGTCTAGCTGGTGTATTTGCATACAGCGATCTGATTGGCTGACGCTTCCGTCGGTGCTTGAAAAGTTGAGCTGTTCCCAACTTCTGCAGCAAGCAACGCCTCTGAAGCGGCGCTGGCGGATCCACAATGCAGTTTGGCAAGCGTTGACGCTGACGGCCCGTGAGAATGGGGCGTAATGGGCGGGGCTTTTTTTTTAAATTGAATTAATTAATGTTTACCATCAGAGGCTGGCTATATTCACACACTGTTGCCACACAACTGTGTTTAAACCCCTTATAAAAGTGATTTGGGCATAATAAGTGCACTTTAAATCGAAAATGAATTATTGACAGTAATTAAAACATCAGGCGTGTTGAACTCACAGCGCAGTAGATGGGTCTGAAGGACATGAGTCTCTCCACATGGTAGGACAGGTTTCCGCTGTAGGCGTCCCAGTGAGGATACTCTCCTCTCTCCAGGATGAACTGCTGGCCCTGGAAGTCGTGGTGCTCGTAACCCACCCAGCTGCAAAAACACAACATCCAGTCAGGCACACACACACACTCCACAAAACAAGACGGAAATGGCATGAGCACACTCCAGAGTAACTCACGCGCCGCTCTCCACGCGGATGGAGCGAATGTTGTCGAAGCCACAGCACTGGATGTTGCAGCACTCGTTGGTGAACTCCTGACATTTACCCTGGAAGTGCTCCTGCTCGAACACGGTCACCTGATACACACAAAATAATAGGTTTAATGTTAATCATATACAAATACATGCAAAGTAATGAGATTTGAGCTTGTAAACTGTACTATTGGAATTTTATTTAAAGGGATAGTTCACCCAAAATTAAAAATACCCTATTGTTTACTCTGCCTCATGTGGCTTTTAAACCTTTTATGAGTGTTTTGATGTTAATAATATGCAAATGCAAGCAAAATAATGGCATTTGAGCATGTTAACTGTACTGTTGGAACTTTATTTAAAGGGATAGTTCACCCAAAAATTATAATTACCACATTGTTTACTCTGCCTCATATGGGTTTTGAGCTATATGAGTGTTTTGATGTAAATAACATGCAAATGCAGGCAAAATAAACCTTTTATTTTTAGATTTTAAACCTTTATGAGTTTCTTCTGTTGAACAGAATTTTGAAGAATGGCAACTACTGACTTCCATTGTAGCATAAACAATTACTATACAAGTCAATGGGTGCTGCATCAATCAGCATTCTTTAAAATATCTTCTTTGTGTGTTTAACAAAAAGGTTTGAATGAAAATAGTAGAAAATGATGGCAGAGATTACATTTTTGGGTGAACTATCCCTTTAACACAATTGTACAGATTATTTCTCAAAGTTTATTAAATGAATAAAGAAGGTATTTTACCATTCGCTCTATGCTGGGTTATTTCAACCCAATTCTGTGTGTAATGCAGACTAAACCAACAGCAGTTTTTTTTTTTTTTTTTCCAATTAAATGAATAGGGGATGACATGGTGGCGCAGTGGGTAGCACTGTCACCTCACAGCAAACAGGTCGCTGAGTTGAGTCCCGGCTGGGTCAGTTGGCATTTCTGTGTGGAGTTTGCTTGTTATTCCTGTGTTTACATGGGTTTCCTCTGCAGTTCCCTATAGTCCAAATGCGTGTGCTGTAGGTGAATTGGGGTAAGCTGAATTGTCTGAAGTGTATGTGTGTATGTCCTGGTACTCCGGGTTGGGGGTTAATCTAACAACCCACCTCAAAAAAAAAAAAAAAAAAAAAAAAGATGTTATAAAACACATATATGGTGCGGCTAAATATCAGCTTTGATATAAATGGCCCTGGGAGTAAGTAAGAAATTAATAGGACCAAATATAACCCAATAGTTTGGGTTTGTCTATTTTTTTTACCCAATTTGGGTTTAAATATCCCAGCATTCCTTAGAGTGTTAGTGTTTAATTAATCAAACTATATAACCATAGTGTTTATTATCCAGTAATATGGTCACCAATGGTTACCGCTATCCAACATTCTTCAAAATATCTTCATTTATGTTAAACAGACAAAAAGTCATAAAGGTAAATAATAACAAATAATGAATTTATATTAAACATATGAGCATTTTTAAATTGCACTGTGTTTGTTTTTATTATTGAATTAAAAATTGAAAGAAGTAATTAATTAATTGAAGAATTAACTTTACCCTGAAGAAAGGAGCCATTCCCATGCCAGAGCTGATCATGGGCTGCATCATGGCGGATCGAGTAAACCTATACATCTTTATTTCTGAAAGAAAGAAAGAAAGAAAATAAAGAAAGAAAGAAAGAAAGAAAAGAAAGTAAATAAAGAAAGAAAGTTATTGCATATCATTATAAAAACAATTCAACACAATTAACTCACAATTAGCACTCATGTTAGTAATGAACCAACATATTGGTATTATTCAAGATTAAGTTAATTAACATTGAGTATTAGCATAAATTAATGTTAATATTATGAGATTTAAATAGTCTAATACAGAAGCAATTCGCCTAATGTGGCCCTGCTGAAATGTTTTTAAAGTTTATAACAGTGCCGTGAGCTCTGTGGGATCTTACCGTGTTTAGTCACTGTGTGGCACGCGCCTGAACACTGCTATCGCGTGGAGCTTTGAGAGAATCTGGCGCTGCGGTTTTATACCGGCCGTCGTGTGCGCGCAGTACAATGCGCGCGGCCGCCATTGTGCACGCGGCGCGCGTGGAGAGCGGACGGTGGACAGGCCGCAGGGTCGCCAGCTCAGCACATACTATAGAAGAGCCACACGGGTGTTGAGAGCCCATTCAGTCGCTGTAGCGGTGTGTTTTGGGTGAAAGCAGGGGAGACAAAGGGTTTGGCCCCAGTATGTTCGTGCAGGTCAGCAGTCCTGCGCACAAAGAGCCCAAAATACTGGGATTAGCTGAGTGAACCTGCTCCAGCTGAGTGTGTAGTCAGTGGCACAGTGAGGAAACTTAGTTTTTCATGTAAACGACCATCAAGGATGTAAGTCAGTATGGACCAAATGATGAAGCTGACATTAAAGGGACAGTTCACCCCAAATATGAAACTAGTCACTATTTACTCACCCTCAGTTGGTTCCTCACCTTTAATGTGCATTTAATTGATTTATTTTGATGAACAAAAAAGAAGACATTTTGAAAATTGGTGGTAAGCGTGGACTTCCAAAGCAGAAATAACACTATATTGTGGCAGTCAATGGTTACCGATATTCAAGATTATTGAACATATTATCTTTTGCACTCAAAGATGAAAAAAAAAGTCAAACAGCTTTGAAACAAGTGAAGGATGAGTAAATTATGGCAGAATTGTCAGGGTGTTTTATTGAAAGACTACAGACTACTTATTTCGATTATTATTTATTCTAGATTTCAAGGTTATTATTTGCTATGTTTGTCTATTTATATATTTAAAGAGAACTCAATAAAATTTTTGTTTATTTACATTTAATATTAGATTTTATTTATGTATTCATTTATTCATTTTCTTTTCGTCTTAGTCCCTCTATTAATCAGAGGTTGCCACAAGGGAATGAATCGCTAACTTATCCAGCATATGTTTTACGCAGCGGATGCCCTTCCAGCTGCAACCCATCGCTAGAAAATATCCATACACACTCACTCACACTCACACACTACGGACAATTTAGCCTATTCAATTCACCTGTACCATATGCCTTTGGACTTGTGGGGGAAACTGGAGCAGCCGGAGAAAACTCACACGAACATGGGGAGAACATGCAAACTCCACACAGAAATGCCAGCTGACCCAGCCGAGGCTCGAACCAGTGACCTTCTTTCTGTGAGGAAACAGTCCTACCCACTGCGCCACCGCGTTGCCTGTTTATTGTTTTTTTTTTGTTAATTTAATTACTTGTTCTTCAACATCCATACACACTCATTCACACACATACACTATGGACAATTTCATTCATTCATTTTCTTTTCGGCTTAGTCCTTTTATTAATCCGGGGTCGCCACAGCGGAATTAGCCGGCAACTTATCCAGCACTTGTTTTACGCAGCGGATGCCCTTTCAGCCGCAACCCATCACTGGGAAACATTCACACACACTCATTCACACACATACATACACTATGGACAATTTAGCACTCAGATAACTCCACACAGAAATGCCTAATGCCTAATGTTATTATTATTATTTTTTTTTAATAAATTTATTCACAAGTTTATTTGACCCGTGTGTTTATTTATTTATTGTATTACTATTTTTAGGTCAATATTATTAGCCCCCTTAAACGATATATTTTTTCGATTGTCTACAGAACAAACCATTATTATACAATAACTTGCCTAATAACCCTCACTTGCCTAAATAATCCAATTAACCTAGTCTTCTTCTTCTTCGGCCTTAGTCCCGTATGGTTGCGGGGTCGGTTCTTTGGAACAAGTCCTCCATTTAGACTTGTCCATATGATAACGACTTTTTTTTACACATTCCGGCCGGCCTGTCACCCTCATACACTCATACACTCCGGACAATTTAGCCAACCCAATTCACCTGTACCGCATGTCTTTGGACTGTGGGGGAAACCAGAGCACCTGGCTGAAACCCACGCGAACGCAGGGAGAACATGCAAACACAGAAATGCCAACTGAGCCGAGGTTCGAACCAGCGACCTTCTTGCTGTGAGGCGACAGCACTACTACTACTAATCCAGTTGACCTAGTGAAGCCTTTAAATGTCACTTTAAGCTGAATACTAGTGTCTGGAAAAATATCTGGTAAAATATTATGTGCTGTCATCATTCATTCATTCATTTTCCTTCGGCTTAGTCCTTGATTTATAAGGGCTCGCCACGGCAGAATGAACCGCCTACTGTCATCATGACAAAGATAAAAGAAATCAGTTATTAGAAATTAATTATGTTTAGAAATGTGTTGAAAAAACAGAGAAATGAAACAGAAATTGGGAAAAATATATAAAATATTATAATTTTGCTAATAATTTTAATAAATAATAATTATAAGAACCTTTTTGGATTTCCCGAAAACTCTTTTAATGAAGTCTACTTCAAAGAAAACATTTTGCACAGTGTGAAGAACATTTTTATAGTCTAAAGATATGATAATCATAATCTATTCCCACTAAAAAGAGCCTTTTGTGGAATGTAAAGTTTCCATGGCTGGGAAAAGTTCTTCAAGCAACCACCAATCCTAATAAACAACCATTATAGTGTGGTTAACGGTTGTCTGCTGCTGTCGTATTGCTCATGTGTTAGGCTTGAAAGTGGTGATTTGAAACTGAAATGTTTAATTCTGTCTGTCTGTTACACACACACACTCACTCACTCTCTCTTTCTCTCTGTGTGTGTGTGCTGATGATGTGGTCTCTCTTTTCTGCGAGTGTGCTGAACGCGGCATGTTTCATTGTGTCAGAGTAATCCTCATAGACTCGGAGCCAGAGTATAAGAGCTGCGCACATGGCCGAACGCAAACACTCCCAGAGTGAACCCTGCGTTTGGACACACTCACTCAACACACAGGTAAGATAGCTCACACATACACACATAATCACTTTTAAAGAGGGTCCATCATCAACCCCCTTCACCACCCTAAAATAGCCCCCTAAATAGTATTTCCTTCCCCCTTAATAGTGTCTTCATCAAAGGTGCCCCTACTACTACTACTTTTTTTAAACAAACCTTTTCCACTTCAAAGATCATTTTGTTTGATGTTCATAGAATTCCAAACATGACATCATCACTCAGCATCTAAATTTAAGTGTAATAGAATCCGCCCCACATTAATCCTCTATTCTGATTGGCCCCCCAGGCATCATGTCTTCCAGTGGAGAAAAAAAGACCGCCTCCCAGACCGACGGCAAGGGAGCCCCCAGCAAGAAGTCCGAGATGGGCATGATGTCCTACAGGGTAAAGCTTTTTGGACAGACATTTACACACGCACATACATATGCATGCCTGAAGCACCATCTAACTCTATTTCTCTATATGTGTGTCCCTCAGATGTATGTGTTCGACCAGGAGAACTTCCAGGGCCGTATGATTGAGATTAACGCCGAGTGCATGAATGTTTGTGATATGGGCATGGACAGAGTTCGCTCTCTGCGCGTGGAGTGCGGCCCGTAAGCATCTCTGCATCTACAAGCAACCGGGTCTTATATGTTGAATCCATAAATATTTTAGGCAATAGCCAAAAATACACCATATGCATCAAAATTAGAAATTTTCTTTTTATGCTACAAATCATTAGAATATTAAGTAATGCTTCATTATTATCATATCTGTTAAATTGTTTTTGTAAATTTCCTACTGTGAATATATCAAGACTTCACTGTAAACAATTAGTTGACTATACTTAAATGACGTGGGAAAAACTCTTGAGTTTGAAGCGATTAATTGACTTTACTTGAAATAAGGGGCATAAACCTATTGCTTTTAAAGCGAGTAGTTGACTTTACTTAGATTAAGTGGGAAAACCTCTTGATTTTAATGCGATTTGTTGACTTTACTTAAATTAAGTGGGAAAACCTCTTGATTTTAATGAGATTAGTTGACCTTACTTAGATTAAGTGAGTAAACCTCTTGGTTTTAATGTGATTAGTTGACTTTACTTAAATTAAGTGGGAAAACCTCGTGATTTTAAAGCGATTAATTGACTTTACTTAAAATAAGGGGCATAAACCTATTGCTTTTAAAGCGATTAGTTGACTTTACTTAGATTAAGTGGGAAAACCTCTTGATTTTAATGCGATTAGTTGACTTTACTTAAATTAAGTGGAAAAAACTCTTGATTTTAATGCGATTAGTTGACCTTACTTAAATTAAGTGGGAAAACCTCTTGATTTTAATGCGATTAGTTGACTTAGGTTAGGTGGGAAAACCTCTTGATTTTAAAGCAATTAGTTGACTTAGGTTAGGTGGGAAAACCTCTTGATTTTAATGCGATTAGTTGACTTTACTTAAATTAAGTGGGAAAACCTCTTGATTTTAATGCGATTAGTTGATTTTACTTAAATTAAGTGGGAAAACCTCTTGATTTTAATGCGATTAGTTGACTTTACTTAAATTAAGTGGGAAAACCTCTTGATTTTAATGCGATTAGTTGACTTTACTTAAATTAAGTGGAAAAAACTCTTGATTTTAATGCGATTAGTTGACTTTACTTAAATTAAGTGGGAAAAAACTCTTGATTTTAATGCGATTAGTTGACCTTACTTAAATTAAGTGGAAAAAACTCTTGATTTTAATGCGATTAGTTGACCTTACTTAAATTAAGTGGAAAAAACTCTTGATTTTAATGCGATTAGTTGACCTTACTTAAATTAAGTGGAAAAAACTCTTGATTTTAATGCGATTAGTTGACCTTACTTAAATTAAGTGGAAAAAACTCTTGATTTTAAAGCGATTAGTTGACTTTACTTAAATTAAGTGGAAAAAACTCTTGATTTTAATGCGATTAGTTGACTACTTAAATTAAGTGGAAAAAACTCTTGATTTTAATGCGATTAGTTGACTACTTAAATTAAGTGGAAAAAACTCTTGATTTTAATGCGATTAGTTGACCTTACTTAAATTAAGTGGGAAAACCTCTTGATTTTAATGCGATTAGTTGACTTAGGTTAGGTG